GCCTCCTGCCGGATGACCTGTACTACGACTCCACGTACGTCGCCGCCTCCTCCAGGACGAGCACGACGTGCGGCACGCGTCTTTCTTCGCTGGCACCTCGTCAGCCACGTCAAGAGCGCGCAACGCGTTCTCCCCAGGTGCGTGGGTGTACATGGGTGCGCGGCCTCACGCCCACGCCGTCGCCTTCACCATCTTCGTCTCCACCACCACCACCTCGCATGACAGCGGAGGAGGAGGCCCGGCTCATGCAATGTGTCATGAAGGACTCCATGAACACGCACGATGAGCGCCACTGGGAGGGCCTCGAGGAGATGATGGCTCTCTCTGCGGCCGGCAACGTCGCCATCCCCGAGCTGGAGATGGTGAAGGCGGAGGAGGTGATGGAGGAGGAGCCGGTGGCCGCGTTCCACCCGGGCCTGGTGAGCCAGCAGTGGAGCTGGTCGTGCACGGCTCCGAAGATGGCCGACGCCGTGAGGGCCGTGAACTGGTGCCCCACGCCGCCGCGGTCACCGGAGCGGGAGGCGCCGCCACGGGAGGAGGTGGTGCAGGCACCTCCGGCCTTCCAGCCCGCCCTTGTGTACCACGCACCGCCATCCCACCTCTGAACGCTGCCGGACTACGTCGACCTCGTCAGCGACGACGATGACAACAGTGACGACCACGACATCGACGGGCACGGCAGGAGCGCACAGGCGGCGTTTTTTATGTTAATTATGACAATGTGAACCGAGAAACTAGGCCGTTTTGTGGCTGTTATTGTTAATTTATGTTTTATGTTTTTATATTTGTGTTTATTTATTTATTTCGGCATTTCATTTTAGTTTTTTTTTTGTTTTTTTAATCATGTTCACCCCGGACATGATTTGGTATGCGGCCGCGCGTTAGGTACACCCACAATTCAACGGATAGAAGCGGACATGTGCAAATCCATTGCCGCCACAAAGAAACAAAATCCGGCCGAACCGGACGTCGGTTTGGGGTCGTGCCCTGGATTTGGCCTCAGCGCGTTTGAGCGGACGAAGAAGAACAGTACATGGCAATTGGACTGAAACATATTCTGTTTTCAGTCGACTAATGATTAGGCGGTCCCATTAGTTACAGGTCCCGTGAGGATAAACTGAGTGGTCCGAACAAAAGGCCGGCACAAAGATACAGTAGGTCACGTGCCACAGACCGTCCGTCTGAGCAAACGGCCGGCCACAGAGATCCGGCAGCAGGTCACATGCTACGGAACAACCGCATGCTACTTCAGCGTTTTGTCAGAAGAACACGTCCCATTCTGCGAGCCCTGTTTTGTGGTTATTCGGTAGCTATTGACTTCGCAGCTCGCACGCGTCTCATTCTGCAAGCCTTGCTTCCATCTTTTTCCGACACGCCTTACGTGTCTGTGCCGCATCCTCGTGTTGGGCTGACCTCGTCATGGACTGATGGCGCTCACGGTGAAGTGCATTACCTCATCTCCAGCCAGGAATGTGCACATTTTACGGTCACCCTCACACGCCGATGCATTTTTTTAGAACGTCGTGCGCTCAGCTTACCTCTGCTCTTCTGGCAGGGAATGTTTTTGGCAGCGGTCTTTATAGTTCCATTACACCAAAAATGGGTCTCTTTCAACGACCTTGTTAAGCGAGAGCTACACATTGGCTTGATCGGGTCGACGTCAGAAGCAGATGGTGAAGACACCATGTGTTCATAGTTGTTGCAGGCTTCGCCGAAGCGTCTCGATCGACGTCTTGGCAACGTAACATTAACGTGGAGTCGTGGACCCTCTTCTTCCGAGGCCCGTGGAAAAGTACTGACGGCTTGGCGCTAGGGAAGGGATGCGCTGCCTTGATGGGTTAATCTAGTCCACGACACATGAAATGAGAACCATGCTTGCCGAACACAACTAGCGATGACATTAACTGCAAGTGGGACTGCTACGGACTCCACCCACCGTCTTGATTGTCGTGAAACCAGCGACCGGCAAATACCACTGCCGCAACACGGCGGTAAGTGGTCTGCCCGTTGGAGCTATAGTATATGCTTGAGGAAAACGTGATTGGAACCCAACAGTAACTTGGTCCTCTTTTGCCGGCTGGATTTCGAACATGGGAGTAGCACAAGAAGGACGTGGAAATTAGCTGTCGTGGAATGTTAAATTCTACAAGAATTGAAAGCACGCGAATGTGTGATGGATGTTGTTTGATTGCGTCGGGAAAACCACAGGAATTTTTGTAGAATTTGGTGGATGTCATGGTTGACATTAAGATAAAAGGAAATTTTCCACGAGGTTGAGCCCAATGGATTTTTTTTGCTTTGGCCGTATGAACTTGTACATACAAACCAAACATGGTACACAGGGGAAAAACCCTAAGGGTTGGAATTCTACAAATTTTGTATGAATTTCCTTTGGACCAAATAGGCCAGAACACATATGAGTGTAGAAGTCACGTAATATAAGATGGACTGGATGAGGCCATCGTAATTGAATTTATGACATGTTCCTGCTCGATGCAGACGTGCTAATAGAATGTTTGTGGCTCTAGAGATGTAGAGGACATAGGCAATGATCCCCTCTAGACGCCACGACACCGCCATATTGTTGTTATTGTCCTTAGTATGCTCATTGTTTCATGCCCGATGATGACCAGAAGGGTTTAGTGTTGCAGGGGAAAGTATTGACCTCACGGGTATGTTGAACTAGTTATGGGAGCTAAACGACAATTGAGACCAATAGTTGATTCGACTCCAACAACCAGGGCGCACGTATGTGCCCTCTTTCCTCTTAGTGTGTTAGTTTGAGATCGCAACCATCAAAACATTATCAAACACATGAGAAAAAAAGGAAAAAAACATGGTTTCAATTTTATTATGTTGTTGAGTACGCTAAGCACTAGATTTAGAGGCATCCAGGTAAGAGGGTTAGTCTTATTAGGGATGCCTTGTGGGTCGAGGCGCTCCTTTATGCTACATCACTTGTTGTCATGTCGTCTCCTGACTTGGTATTCTGAGATCCGGGGAGTTGGTCATTCATGTGATCACTCTAGGTGTGATTGTTCCATGCCTTAGACAATAGAGGCGCTCCGTCCTGCTCTTAGTCTTTTGTAGAAATTTTTGCTCTTACTTACATTTTTTAGCGGCAAACCAAACTTTATTAGCTAGGAATATGGTTTACAGGAATTACAAAATGGTCATGGGGTACCCCGGCCACAAGTGGCGACCAAAATCTAAAGAAGATGAAATTTTAGCTAAATTGTGTGCATCAAAATAATTGCTCTTAGTTACAAGTTTCATGGGTGGTCGTGGTGTCCAGAGCCCGTGGGCCTGTCAGGCCAATAAAGAGCCCAAGTGGATACACGAGTCTGGTTGCCATGTTTTCCAGTTCTGGTTGACCCCGCGAGAGCTATATCTACCAACTTCGACATGGATATAGCTCATGCCTTAAGCGCTGACATGCCCATCTAGTGGGTTTTCTAGTTAGCCCGGTCAGTCATTGTATTTTCGTTTCTTCTTCTTCTTGGCTGGATCGATCTGGGTTTTTCATTGGTTTTCTTTGGTTTTCATCGATTTTTTTTCCTTTTTATGTGTTTTTTTAGAGTTTTCTTCTATTTTCTTTGGGGGTTTTTCCTTTTTTGTTTTCCTCCTCTTTTCAGTACATGTCTACTTTTTTCAATACATGTTGTACATTTTTTGTATATACACAGAATATTTTTCTAATACAACTTGAACATTTTTCAAATACAGGATGATTTTTTTGCAAACACATGTTTTCAAAAAAATCAAATACATGTTAAACGTTTTCTGAATACATGTTGAACATTTTTTGAACGGTGTGCAACATATTTCTAAAATTTCACGATTTTTTACATTGTATAAAAATGTTTTCAAATACATGTTTGAACATTTTTCTAGTAAATGTTCAATATTTTCAATACACATTGAATTTTTTATGGTAATAAGAAACATTTAAATAAATACATGAACATTTTTTTATTCACATTTTCAAAAAAAAATCATGAACATATTTTTGAAAGGAGTGAGCATTTTAAAAAATATCACGAACATCTTTTAATGTTATGAAATATTTTTAATTACGTGATTTTTTTGCAGAGTTTAAGCATTTATTCAATGTCACAAACAGTTTTTTGAATGGTCCAAACATTTTTTTGAAAGTTGCGTGAACATTGCTTTTAAACTACATGAACATTTTTTTTTAATGTTTGATGAACGTTTTCAAATTTTAAGTATTTTTTGGAACATTTTTATTTAGAATATTTAAAAATGTATAAACAAAAGTAGAAGAAGAAGAAGAAAACTGAGTGGATAAATGCAAAACCTGCTATTGGGCTGGCTCACTAGGGGCGTTCCTTGAGGCGGCGTGGTGGTAGTTCAGTGAGCACAGCGAGCGAGGTATAACCTCGCCCGGTTTAGCTGACTAGACAAACGGTTGAACAAAACTCAACTCTAAAGATCCATAAGTGCCTTGAATTTTTGTAACCAGGGTTTTGCATCGATTGGGGGTACATTTTCGACCCTTTACCTCATGTTTAAACTCTACTAGAATAATTGCCCATGTGTTGCCATGGGGATTTTATTTGGTAAACCCTTATTTGGTAAGCATTTATTGGTTTAGCAAAGAAAATGAAATTTTATTCGGTAAGTCAATAAGAGGTGGGCCAGTTGATGCGGTTTTCAAGGAAAACCGGTGCAAAAATTCAGAGATGAGAGGAAAAAGATCAAAACCAAGAGGGGAGGAGAAAACCTAGGTAAGGTTAGAGGAGGGATGAACGACGTAACCTTATGTAGGAAGTAGGAGAGATAATTACAGAGAGATAATTAACACTACAATCACGGAGTCCTGAAAGTCGCATGTTATTGCATTAACGCCGTACATCATCAATATATACATTACCATGACGACACAGAAACAGGAAGCGAGTCAGATCAGAAACACAGCAAGATCATGTCCACAACACGCACGACACAACCGTAAACGTGTCATACAATATCAAGGAGCATTACAGGTTCGCAGACGCAAGGCCGGGTGGCTTCTCTACTCCATTACTCCATGCCCAGGCCAATGCTAGCCCATCAAGTCGACGACGCAATCAGCTCATCCAGGCCTTCTTCTTGAAGCCCTGGACAGATGATGTTATACACAGTTGTGAGCAGGTAAATTTGGAACTTCAAACCTATACGAATTTGTGCTGGAGATCATAACAAGTTCTCCTACTCAACCCAATGGCACATGTTCAAATCACCAGAGGGCGCCACATTTTCTGATGGTGGAGGACCCGCAATTCTACCCCCGATGGGAATATCCTAGTAAGAACAAAGAACAAACGGGGTATCTAATCTAATTGGGGGCACATACAGTCTGTTGGGGTTGGCACATCATTTGTTTTGCTCAAAAGGCTGCATAACCATTTTGAAAATCTGCAACTAGTTTGACCATCTATAAAAAAAGAATTACTAGCACCCAAAACATCAAATCTACTCCCTCCGTCTCTAAATATAAGTCTTTTTACAGATTTCAATAGGGACTACATACGGATGTATATAGACATATTTTAGAGTGTAGATTCACTCATTTTGCTCCGTATGTAGTCCATATTAGAATCTCTAAAAAGACTTATATTTAGGAACGAAGGTAGTATATTATTAGACTTGTCATGAAATATATTTTCATAATGTATTACTATTTTTATGTGAGACAAGATGTTTGCGCAGAGTTCGATGGTCAAAGTACCATCTCAAAGACCCTGTCAATGTCCTAAAAAGCCTACGTTTTGATTGGAGGAACTAGTTAACATAGCAAGTTACTCTGGACATTCTTATCTACAAAGATAAGAGAATTTATTAATACGTTCAACTTTCGTATTACAGACAGCAGAGAATCAATATAAACCTTTTCCAAACGTATGCAAAAAATCTATAGAACACAAAATTATGCACCTGCATACATATTCAAGAAAAGTAACGTAGAACAATATACCTTTTTGACATCTGAATATATATCTTCAACCCTCTTCTCTGTCTGCTTTGCATAAGACCACGCTTTGTGTATATTAGATTCCATCTTTTTTGATATATCAATTACACTTTGAACCTACAATTATTGTCCACTGATTAGAATTTCAACCTCTAAGCAAAATAACAGTAAGATGGCCAGCTGAAAACAGCTTTCAGAAAGGGCTGCACCTGCACCCACAATTAGTTGCAAATTCTAGTTCTCCGCGGTAGCACACAAAAGCAAGCATGAATACTAAGAGCGTGCAATAATCTACAGTCTAACCACATGCAGGTCCATGTACTGTATAATACCCATGAATAGTTCCAAATAAAACCTTCTAGCAAGATAACTATGTGGCAACTGCAAACAGGTACAGGTAGAAACATAAGCATTTACATCCACCTGTACTTTGTAATCGTCATTGCTTCTTGGTACATAATAAATAATATAAGAAAACTGGACATCTTTGATTGTACCAAAAGAAACTTGTCAGATCAAAACTCAACACTGGGATGATAGATATGAAATGCTACTGCACTCACTGCTGCTACAAGTAATAACCAAACAACAGTTGTTGCACCATGCTTATCCACTGATCCGATATCCAGCAAATCTAACAGCTGCCACAGCCAGCCAAACCAGACTCGCCGAAACCAGAAAAACCAAACATCCAAAGGGTGTATGCCTATGTTACCCAGATACAGTGAATTCCTACAAACCAAGTGGCCCCTAAAATGAGCATCTCCATGGAGGACCTCAAAGGGTGGCTGCTCACTTCTGCTAAATGCATGGTTGAGAAAGGAGTCAGGTGGCTGATCATCCTAACAATCTGGCGGCTCTGAAAACTCAGGAATGCATGTTTCTTTGATGCGGTAACACTGCATGTTCACTCGGTCGTTGGGGTCATTACAAATGATGCTCAGATCTGGATGTTGGCTGGAACGTCGCTTATGGCTCACCTCTCCATGCGCAGTCTTTTTGGCAGTTTCGGCTGTCTATTTTTTGGCTTATAATTAGTTTTGCCTCTTTCTTTTGTCGTCTGGTTGTGGTTTTGCTTTGTTTCAGCTGCCTGCCACTGTTGGTGGTTTCTGTTCTGCACATTCTTTGGTGTCCTAATACGTAAACGAGGCACACTTAGGTGCATGTTCAAGGAATGAGCTCTTAAATTCCCAATGTGAACTCACCACACCTTCTTTGGTGTTCTTTTTCTAACACACAATGAAGTGCATTTAGCAGCACATTCAACAAAAAGAACTCTTGAATTTACAATGTGTGCTCATCATGAGAAATGCTAAAGAAAAATAATAAGTAGGGGCTAGAACATTCACAGTGGTCATACATTCTATCTTAGAAATTTCATTTGGCTAAAGAAGATAAGACAATGATCTAAACTTTCTTGTCTACCAAGGTTCAAATGCAAAACTATTAGATTTTAAATTAGATCTGAAATTTCAATCTGAAATAACACATACACATAAATTACGATAATCAAAACAGACATTAGCCATGAGAGTGATACCTTTGCAACATCTGTATACAGAGATTCGACCTTTTTTGCTGTATCCTTTGCCAATGACCATATCTGGTGAGCATTAGAGTTCATCTTCCTTGATTCATCCATTATAATTTGAGCCTGTTATACCAATCAGATGACTAGCTCAAACAGCTTTCCAAAAGAACTCACAGTCGCACAATAAAAGTAAACATCAACACAGGAGAACCTAAAACTAAAAACCATGAAAAATAGGAAACCCCTTACTGTCCCATGATAACGCTCCTTCTAATCTAAATATAACTCTGACTAGAAAATGCAACTATGAGAAAAACAGAAAAGATTGAAACATATCAGTATTAAGTTTGACTTTGGTTGAATGAAGAAAACAAAATTTAGATTGAAATTTCAACACAGGCAATACATATCAATTATGACTGTTGAACTTGCTAAGATTTCAGCTCATGCAGGGGAATTTTGGCGGGCACTGCTGTTTAAGGGATTTTAAGGCCAATATTGCTAAGACACTTTCAAAGTGTAGCATTTCCCTGAGTAATTTCTTCAAATCACCGCATGCTTGCGTTCTTAACTCTCAAGGTGCAACGTATTACGTAAGAATCATCTTTTAACCTCTATGACAGTTGTTTGACCCAAGTAAGAAACATTTCAGGATATATTCTCAATACATAAAAAAACATGAGGTTGGGATTAGGACATTCACAGACAATGTTGTAAATGTTGAACTTCACTAAATAACATAGCACAATGCCTGAACCTCCTTATGCACTAATGTTTGAAGGACAGATCGTCAATTGTTGTAATTTCAACAGAAATGTGTGGAAATTTCAAATTCCACTACAAGATTTTAATACCGTATACACAAAATGAAGAGTATGCAAAAGAGTTAATCGACTTGTGGCTACCAAGTAATAAAGACTATCATAACTGAGATAGCCTAGAAGTACATACCTTTTGGACATCTGAATGTAGAGCTTCAACCGTTTTCTCTGTATCGTTGGCCAATGACCACACATTGTAAATATCAGAGTTCATCTTTCTGGATTCTGCCGCCAGAATTCGTACCTATTATCACCATACCCAGGAAATGAGCACCTCAAGAAAAGACTCTCAAAATCACACGGTATGGATATAGAAGAGCCTAAAACTACAATCACATCTTCGCCTGCGTTTTCTGAAATCATGAAAACCAAAGAGACCCTTAAATTGTTGGAGATGGCAGCTCATGGAGAGCAAGGCATCTGCTTTAACTGTGATTCATGGCTGATCCCTAGTCATCGCAATCAAAAAATTATTCATCATGGAGGTCGATCCATTCTCGGACTATGAAGAGGATGCCAAGGCCGAGAAAGGGGAGGAGTGATGGTCATGTGCAGTGATACTAGGTCCCACTGCTTGTCTACGGTTTCACCATAACTTCTAAAGCGTGTGCTGTCAGAGGCTAGACTCCACATCCGCTCTCGCACATGGTAACTGTATCAATTACACAGGTGCTTGTCGTGCTGTCAACATCAACGATGACACATTCCTAGAAATGCTTTGCCCTACCACTCATCACCGTCGGATCTTAAGAATCAATGCCACCTCGCTTCTAGCATGTCACCTTGAAGTGGATTCGAGATGTCACCTCGTGGATAATGTCAAATCAAGACAAAGAAAACAGAACGCAAATGTTGGTAGAATACCCATTGCTATGTGCAAAGATTTATAAATCCTGGTAATTTATGCAACTATCGTCGAATTAGACGGTAAAATACAACAAGAACACTGTTTAATCTAAATATGTCAACACTACCACACAATTGGTTAACAGTTGAGATACACCATTTAACTTGATTGTAATTTTTTATTGACCCAAACAAATCCTTCTGATGAGTGACAACAATATTTCTAGTGGTGAACCCAAACATGAGAGAGAGACAGGGAGGGGGGCGGGGGAGGAAGGAACCTCATTTTCGACTGATTTGATAGTACCGCCAGAACTCCATAATGATTCCTACAAGATAGAGTGGAACAAAAGTCAATGCATGATTCTGTAGTGTTAGATTATTTTGAAGAAAACTATGAAGTTCCAATATAACATAACGAAGTTGTTTTAACGTAACATGTATTGCACGATGCTGCTAGGCTCAAGATTTAAGCCAAGGTTTAAATCAACTTCTCTCCCTGTCAAATAACAATGCAGTAATGATTTGCATAAATATATACAAGGAAAATACATTCTACTACCTGATATAGTTACACCTGGGTAGGAAAATGACTTTATACCCCTGATATCATTTTCAATATATGTTTAATTTTGTGGCTATGTGCCATCATCCTAATCAGATGACTTGTTGTTTTGCCCTACCAAGATAGACGTGTTAATGCTCTGCTGCTCCTGGTTACCCAATAGTTCCTAAATTAAGCATCATAGGTGCCAGTACGAGACCAATGAGAGGTGGCTGCATGCATGCACAATACTGATTTGCAGAATGCACTTCTACAGTTCGGCTCTGGGATGTAAATGTCCAGTAAGATTAAAACGAAAAGAGGACAGAAGTGCATCTGTAGCAACATATACAGATTATTTTCAGGTTGAATCAAATGGTGCCAAAATAGTTCGAAAGTGGATATTTTCGCTAACACTGCTCTAGTTACAATCCCCCGAACAACATAGCCCGAGCCCCAAGTATGTATATATCAGACTCAGGTTCCATGCTAGTTGAATTTGCAGCGGGAATCATGAATTACCAAACAAGATAATATTTTATTTATGACAAGTCTCGCCAGCACTATATCAGCTGGCATAGCTATTCTTTTCACCAGCTGAGCTCTGGTTTCAGTGAGGAGGTCAAACCAATTTTCGCACTAAAATTTCACATCCACTACTTCATTTATGGCGTGCTCTATGACTATCCATCTCATTGTGTTCGCCCTGATTTGGCTGCAGTGAGTAGAACAGTGTACTGAAGCGGCAGTGTTTCGTAATTTCTTGATGTTATAAAAAAAATCATCTAATTAACGCAAGCACAAACTCTACTTTGCTGTTACCTGATACGATAGATAATCAAATCATCCAAATGCTTTTATGTGTCTTAACTCTTAAACAAAGTTAATTGATGGTGCAATCTATTTGTCACCAAAGCATGAAAGCAATTCTTGCAATTGAAGAAGAGAGCACTCTGAAAACTGAAAACTAAAAGACCAACTACTGGATGTGAAATTGATATGTTGTTATGTACATAACCCAATCAACAGAGGCATACCTTGATGTTTTCTTGTTCCTTGATCAGAGCCTGAATGTCCAGTCCCATCGCTTTCACAAACTCGGCATCTTCCTCTGAAGCATCACCTTTGTCATCTGGTGCTTTTGAATTGTTTTCCCATAATGATTCTGCAAGCACAATTGAACAATTGTCCTAAAATATACAAGAGGAACCATAATCTTCTTAGGGCACAGGCAGAAGAGTACATGTGTAACCAAAAAACAGAGAATAAGGCAAACCCCAAACCACGATTTCACAGCAACTTTACCACATACTCCAAAACATAATATTAATAACCTTAACAAAAAGAACTCGATCGGTTAATCCCTGACATACCCAATCGGTTGAGCTGCAGCTTCAGCTGCTCGATTTCCAACCGAACCTCTCGGCCGGTACCCTCCTCCCAAGCGAAACCAACGGGGGCGGTGCACTGCCCCGTGCGACCGCCGTCGTAGCGGGGTAGGGCGAAGAAGGTGGCAAGGAGCGCGGCCGCGATGGCGAGGGCGGTGCAGGATCGGCGGAGATCGCCTGCGCTACCGGAGGATTTCAGGCGGGCGAAGAGGGAGAGCAGGCGGAGGGGGAGGAGGAAGGCGACGACGACGGCGAGGATTGCCGAGTCGACCCTCATGGCCATGGACGGGAAGAATTCCCTGCTGCGGGTGGGCTATGGGCTCAAATTTGCCGGATGGGGACTGAGAGCATCGGCTTTTAGAAGCTCTCTTAATAATCTTAATAAACTCACCTCAAAAGAAAATCTTAACAAATTTAGGGCATCTCCAATGCGGACCCTCAAATGGTCAAACCCACCGTTACCGTGCGAACCGGACAGTCCGGATGTGTTTTACCATCCAACATGGTCCTATATCGATCCGCTCGGCGGTCCGGACGTTATTTTCCAGCAAACCGGGGGATTTGCAGGAGTCCGGACCGCTGTCACGTCCGTTTCCGACAAACCTGGCCCAGCCAAAATCCTCTCCCTCGTCCACGCTCTTTCCCTCCAGAGTGTCAGCTCTGGATTCATGCCGGCTCAGAGCGCACGCGGCCGCTCACTGGAGCCCACATTGAAGCGACGTGTCGGTCAAGAGCGTCGCATGTTGCACCCCACTGTGCACGCGTTCTCTCGGTCTCTCCGGATTGAAACCGCGTCCGACTACTCGCATACCTCCATTAAAACCAGCGAGTGTGTCGGGGAACCTACTCCGGCGCCCCGAGCGCCACACGTCCATCCCAGTGCCGACCGGCATTAAACACCTTTTCGATTGGCTTCTCACATCCGTCTGTTATTTAAACATGTCCAGGAATCGGGTAATAACCACATCACACCTCCGCTCTCCATATCCTCCTTCTACCACACCCGTCATGGCCTTCGGCTCCAAAAGTCTTGTGGGGCAGCCTCTCTGGCGAGCAGAAGAAGGAGCTCTTCGGCATTGCAGCGGCCTAGGTTGCCCAGTGAGCAGACGGGTACAGATTGGCTCGCCGCCAAACTCTCTGAAGCCGGCGCCATCGCCATGTCGTCCTCGCCCGTCCAGGCTGACCAACACTGTCTCCCGCCAAATTCGCCGCAAGCGGCGGCGGCAACGCGTCCGGCAGGCGGAGAAAGAATACATGTTCGCGGAGGTTGACGCGGTGGCGGTGTAAATTGATTGGGGTACCGACGACAAAGTTGCCAACTCCGCTTTGGCTGCTGTTGGGGAACATAGTAGAAAACAAAAAAATCGTACTACGATCACCCATGAAAAATATGAAGATGCATAACGGGTTGTGATCAGCGATCGTTACCGACTCTGGGAGTGCAGCGGAAATAGACGAGTCGGTGTAGATCGTACTTGGAGTCCCTCGAACGTCGATGACGATCCTACGAACCGCCCTCGAATGGAAGACCGAAAGCACGGCTCTCTACTTGGTTGCAAGCGTACAGTCTTCACGATCCGACATCCCCGTGACGTAGTCACCTGTGTCTGGCCAGACGGTGATGGATGTCATCACACCGAGAGGGCCCTAAGAATATCTCTCCATCGTCGAAGGAGCAAATCCCACTCTCAAGCTAGCCGGTCACCTGTCAAACTTTCCGGTGAACCTGAAAGTTGTCGTTATGATTACTTTGTTACAGATGACGTTTGAGCAACCTCAAAATACACGATCTGGTAGGAAGTGACCGAGACATTCCCATGGTCTGAGGAACTAAAACACATGCTAACACTCCGTGTTATAATAGATGATTTTAGACAATGTAATCACAAAGTATAACATACAAGAATTGGGTCGATTCAATATCATCGTTCTTCTAACGTCATGCCCTCAATGTAGTTTTAGGACTATCGTTACACTTAACGATATCCTAAGATTCAAAAAAGTGATCACCAACAACACTTGAGCAAGTCTTAGAGGAGAGACCGAGAACCTATTGTTACATGTTTATCATTCCACACGTGCATATGAGTTTTCACCGAGTCACATATTCCAGGATCATAGCAGTTATAGCACGGAATATAGACTCTTAACTATGAATATGGAAATATAATAATACAATATTATTGCCTGTAGGGCATATTTCCAACAGTCGCTCCCTGACGCCACGACAACGAAGATGGCACGTCCGCGGCCGCCGACGACAACAAGGAAAAGTAAACCATGGGAGGTCATCGCCGCTTGGATCCCACGAAGGCCACTGCCCCGCCTCGTCGGGTTACACTGCCAGTAGCTTGACCGCTTTGCGGGGGGCGTAGGCCACGGTGCCCGTCTACCCCTGCCCCAAAAACCAACTTTGATATGTGTTTCACGGAAGTGGAGGCTACTCTTCCCCTTCCGCTAAAGCATATCCCTCTAAGGCTCACGACGGTTGATAAGCGAGCTGCCGAACATAGGGAAGACATGTCATGGGAATGGGGTTGTATCGCTACCGGCGATAGACTAGGTTAGGACAGCCTATCTATAATTCAGTTGAAATATGTCCAAAATGTAAATATTTTCGTCCAGTTTATATGAAAATCACTCGGTTTGCATGTGATTCGTCCGGTTTAAAATGTATACGGCTACGGTTGGATGGATGGCTCCCGCATCAGTGTTCGGAGACTGGTCCCCTGATCCTCGGACAGATGCGGTGTTCGGTTTGGGGGTCAGTGTTAGAGATTTCCTTGTTAGGTTTCAGAGGTGATCTATTGTAGCAGATTCCCTATACAACTTTCTCCGTACTTAGCCTGACATATATGTGGCTAGCGTGGTGCTGCAGCGAGCAATGAGCAGCGATGAGGTGGTGGTAGTGCGACGATGGAAGGGTGCGGGCGTCTAACGGTCGACAGTGACGGCGTGCAGGAGTCTCGCGGCTCCGTGCGATGGTCCGATGGTAATTGGCGGCGATGCTAGCATGGCATGTGTTGGTACAAATATAAGGGGTGAAAATGGGGTTAAGGTGACCACCTAAAGAAATTTATGTATAGGTAAGCTATTGGAGCGTGTTTTTTGTGCCAACTTTCCCTGTGTGTGTAGGAATAGGGAAGCTACTGCAGATGCTCTGAGGCAACTCTAACCGAACCTAAGGTCTTAGCTCCTTATAGCCTGTTTGGTTGAGGGAATTAGTGGTTACAGAATGAGAATTTAAAGGGCACGCGACATATAATACGTTGTCGTGAAACTTGGGTGTGTGTTATGGACTAGTCCTTGTATGATTGCTCTGTGGCAGTTTGTTTTATTTATAAAACAGGGCGAAAGCCTTTTTCGGTATATAATATGTTGTTTAGCCGGGGCTAGAAAGTTGAGGCGGAAAGGAGAAAGGGAATTAAGGAGCTCAATTCATGCCCTCTCCTATTAATTCATGTGGGATGTTACTCTGTCAAATTCCCTCTACTAATTCTCATCACGCACCAAACATGGATTTGGGATTGAAAATCAACTTGCCATGCCTAATCTCCTACTAAAGTCCATCTTGTAAACTACCATCCCCTTTTCTCATTGTAGCCAACCAGATCGTTAAGTTCATTCTGTTTTGAGAAGTGAAGTTTATTCTTTTCTTTTTTTTTCTCGGAAAAACTTTCAATCTATTCATCTTCAATCATGGCAGTACAACGAATACCAGAAATAAAAATTACATCCAGAATCGTAGACCACCTAGCAACGACTACAAGCACCGAAGCGAGCCGAAGGCGCGCCGCCGTCATCGCCCCTCCATCGCCGGAGCCGGGCACAACTTGTTGTAGTAAACAGTCGGGAAGTCGTCGTGCTAAGGCCCCATAGGACCAGCACCCTAGAACAGCAACCGCCGCCGATGAAAAATAACGTAGATCGGAAGGATCCAAACCGAAGGCACACGAACATAGACGAACAACGACGAGATCCGACCAAATCCACCAAAGATAGATCTGCCGGAGACACACCTCCACACGCCCACCAACGATGCTAGACGTACCGCCGAAACGGGGGCTAGGCGGGGAGACCTTTATTCCATCTTCAGGGAGCCGCCGCCGTCTCGCCTTCCTGAGTAGGACACAAACCCTAACAAGATTGAAAAAAATGACTAAAAACGAAGCCCTTCCGCCGGCCCTTGCCAGGATCCACCGCGCCTCCATGGCCCTAGGGCCACCGGAGACGAGGCGGACCTGCGCCGGCGCCGGCGAGAGGCACGGACCCTAACTTTCTTTCTTGGAGGAGGAGGAGGAGGCAATTTCTAGTCGGTTCAGTAGTACTCCAATTCGATGGGAAAAGTGAAGTTTATTCTAATCGAACAAAACTTTTAAACTTCTTAATAAAATCAAGGAGAAGTGCCCCCTCCTCCTCCATTTTGAGTAATAAAAACTCATTCTTAATAAAAAAATATCCCTCCGGGAGATGTGTTCGTGCCTCCTCTTGGTTACACTTGCAGCGTCAAGCATCGTCGTTGCCTAGTGCCTCGATAGCTAACACAACTCCCCATCGCCTCAGACTCCTCACGGTCGCACCTCGCTGACCGTTGGCCGAGTTTCAATGAGGTTCTACCAAAAAGAACCTTTGATTTCTCTCCATCTTGACCATTGCCACGCTCCTTCCCATCATTCCCGTCACAGGTGTGCTCCTCCGTCCATCCCCGGCAATGGACAAAGCAAAAAAGACTCACATTAGCGCATACAAAGCAACCCCAAGAGAAGCACCTACCCCAACAAAGGATCATCCTACATAACAGTTGATTCGTCTCCAACGTATCTATAATTTATGAAGTATTCATGCCATGTTTACAATAGTTTTATATGATTTTAGTATGATTTGATTAGAACTAATCCGGACTGACGCTGTTTTCAGCAAAACTACCGTGCTGCTGTTTTTGTGCAGAAATAGAAGTTTTCGGACTGCGATGAAAATCAACGGAGATTTTTTTGGGAAAATATAAAAAAATACTGGAACAAAAATCTACCGGAGGGGAGTCCCATGGGCTCCACGAGGGTGGGGGGCGCGTCCACCCCCTAGGGCGCGCCCCTGTGCCTCGTGGACTCCCCATGGGGCCCCCTGACTTGTCCTCAATGCCAACCTCTCCTATAAATGCCCAAACCTCTATAAAATAACCTAGATCGGAAGTTCCGCCACCGCAAGCCTCTGTAGCCACGAGAAATCAATTTAGGCCCTCTCTGGCACCCTGCTAGAGGAGGCCATCATCACTGGAGGCCATGG